AGCATGCTTCATTGAATCGCTTGATGTAGCCCTGTATGGATTCTCCTTCCCTTTGGACTACTCCGAAGATGCTTTCCTCTGCTCTGGGGCACCGTTTGCTGGTGACAAAGTGTGCGGTGAAGACCTGCACGAACTGAGCCTAGCACTTTATCGACCCGGGGGCCAGGTTCCTGTACCAAGTGTGGGCTACCCCCCTGAGGGTGGTGGTGAAGGCCACGCACATGCATGATTCTCTGGCTCTAGCGAGGTGCATTTGGGACTGGAAGGCGCCAACGTGGTCGTTGGGGTCGAAGGTCCCGTCATACTTGTCCAGAGGTGGGAGCTTGAAATCTCTGGGCAAGTCTCTTCTTTGCCTCTGAGCTCCGACAGGACACGGGTGGCGGTTTTGCGACTTCGCCGGCGCCTTCGCTGTTGAGTGGGCCTTGTACTGGCGCTGCTGTTCTCCGTGTTGCCGAGCTCGATGGGCCCAGAATGCTGGTAGTCTGCTGCTGCCAATGCACTGAATCGGTTTTCCGTGAGTGGGAACTCGGGCTTGGAGCGCCGAGGTGCCGACCTCGCGGGCGAGGTTCCCGACCCGCCTGCGAGTTGCGAGGCGGGGATGACTTTTTTCTCTCTTCGGCCTGGGGACGAGGCCTGGCTATTAGGGGGGTTCTGGGGCCTGGAGGCCTTTCCTTGGTGGGGGCACCCATCCTGCGGGGAGGCCTTGACCGGCCTCGGAGCAGGGTAGCGAGGTGGAAGTAGTGATTGGTTCAGTGGCAGTTGGGGGAACTGCTGTTGATAGTGATATTGGGAGATGTTGTGCAACACTTAGTGTTGGTGAAGCTAGTGTTGCTAGAACTGTTGCATTTGGGCTTGCATGTCGTCCAACCGGTTTTGGCTGGTTGCCAGGGGGACGGCAGTCGGTTCAGTAAAGGTTGTCTCAATAGGGGGAGGAAAGGGTATGCTTGTGGCAGGAAGGTTTACGGGCGCCACTGCTTGTGGCGCATTCAAACTGCGGGTTCCATCCACCGAAAGGGGGATGGTGAACTATCCAACGCACACCACGAGAACTTGAAGCTGTTCCCCGGTGGTGTTTGTCTCTGTGCCACGTCCGGCATTGCTGGAAGAGGCCATGAGGGTTGGCTTTTTTGAAGAAGAAAAAGGGGGTATGAGAGTTTGGAGGGAGGCTTTTTGAAGCGTTCCCACAGACGGCGCCAATTGATGATGCGCAATCCGGCCGGTCTTAGCTGTCAACGACCTTGCCTCTGAATCGAGTAGCGGGAGACCTGAAACGGGGGAGATGAAGAAGCTCCGGGGAGAACCCGGTGTAGAGGCTCCGAAGCTTAAGTTAGAATCCTTCAAAGGCAAGATAAACCAGATAGCGCAAAGTTTTCGTACATCCTCTTTGGGGGTGGAGAGCCTTTTATAACCACCTCGCGCACTCGCTCCTAGACTCCTGTTAGATCGGGAATGAGTATTTCCGTGCTTCTGCCAGTTCGGGCATCATCGCCTCTGCTGGGACAGAACCGTCACTACTCCTTTTGTCGGAGCCGTCTTTGTAACTGGAGGCAGTGGTGACAGGTGACGGTGGCAGGTGGCCGTTGGAAATGCGGCTGTCAAGCGTCAGATCCCAAGTCAGTCAGGTGCGCCGCCCCTGGATACGGACTCCTTCGGTGTCAGGT